TTGAGTACAGAACAAATAAACCATCTCGCCTCCCCATCCTCGACATTGCACCTTTGGACATTGGTGGAGCTGAACAGGAGTTTGGTTTGGACATTGGCCCAGTCTGTTTCAAATAAATAGACTCATGATAAATTAACACCAAAAAAGAGAGAAAGAACGAAAAAAACAAAATCTCTGCCCTTCTTTCTGTGTTGTTTTTTTATACTGAATGCTGATTTCTCTCTGCGCATCCACTTGCTTAAGATGGGCAACTATCTGAGAGGACTGAACGGACTGAGCGGAGCGTTTGTGCAATGCAAATTAATACAGCCAACCCAAAGGGACGCGGGAAAACACCTTGTTGTGGGACATCATGTCATCCTTTTGTAAAAAATAAAAGAAGTGTAATAAAAACGCTGAAAGTATGCATCACTTTGTGGTCTTTGTATATCTTCCAAGGAGGAGGTTTAAAACCACAATTTCCATGAAAAAAAGGTTTAAACTACCTCATGCCTGTACCTAAAGAAAATACTATTGACAAAACCTGGGTCCACAACAGAGATGTTAAGACTTCTAATGCTTCAAGCTTTGTCCCGTATCGGAAGGTGCTCAGTTACTTGAAGCAGAGATCTATGGTGCTAAGATGCAACTGTGGAGCAAACCACTTTGTTACTGTATTACTTTGTATTGACCTGTGAGGAGTCTTGCATTCATCCCCTGATACTCCCCCACTTTAAGCAGGTGGAATGTTCCTAAACCTGATGTCTGGTTCTTGTTTTTGTTTGATTTGGTTTTGTTCTTTTTTTTTGTTTTGTCTAGAAGGTTTTTTTTGTTTTGGTTTTTTGCTCAGGCTTTTTCTACTCTTCAAACCCCACACAGAGTGTTCATACTGACAGCACATATTTCACCCAATTCTGAATGGTTTTTAGGCGGCCTCTCTCTCTCTCTCTCAAAAAATGACACCACAAAGTCTATTGTACCTATTTTGTATATGTGAGATGTTTAAATAAATTGTGAAAAGTTCTGAAATAAAGCATGTCCAATGTTCCAAAACACACTACTCAGTGACTTAAGTGCTTTCATGTTTTAATGACACCAGTGAAGGTGTGTCACTGTATTTTGGTTCTAGTTTGGCTGATCATTTACATATCATCATTGACTTAAACATCTTCCTATTGTGGAAGCACAGCCACATCCTCATTTACCTTGCCCATTTTTTCTTTTCAATGGTACATCCAATTTTAATGTACAGTAAATTTCTGTTGACACTGTCCATGCCAATGTGTGATTACTAACGTGCATTGTTTCTTGTAAATATGCATCTTCTGATGTTGCTTTTCCTTGCATAATACAGCTTTTGCATCCAAATAAATTTCTGTGATTTGGATCGAGGCTTGAATTGCAGTGATGCATGTACACTGGTTTTAGCTAAGATTCGAAATAGGAATATGCAGAAATTACTTGATTTGTCACTTTGTCAGAAGCTGAGAATCAGTGTGTTGGGGGAACTGGGATATGTAAGCTTTCTGAAATTTTTCATTTAATTATACATCCACATGTAGAAGCCGTTTTAATCACCTGCAGCACTTTCTACAACCACTAGAGGACAGTATCGCATGTTTTAATAAGCAACCCTGCTCCATGTAGAACACATTTAGCTTCAGGGGTAGTTAAATAGACATATTATTTTTGAACCCTGAGCAAGACGCATGTCCAGGATCTATGGGTCTACAGTATAAATTAAGCATAAACTATTGATGTTAAAATTGCAAAATGGATCTTTAATGTTACAAACATTAGGCAACACACTTTTTTTTTTAACTTTACATTAAAATGGCACAGCTAAAGTGACATTTTTGTTGATGCTGATGTATGAAATCCTTTTCAATGGCGGCAGTGGGAGTTAACAAAGTACATTATCTCAAATTCTCTACCATACTCAATTTTTAGATACATTTCATACCTTCACCACCTTTCAGCGGGCAATATTTTCACTAAAGTTACTAGTTACTGTGTAGATCCAGCTTTTACAGTCAAAACATATGTCTGTCTAAAAATATGTTGCATTACTGTAAAATACTCAACAGGATGGCTGGATTAACATGTTAGGTGGCTTCTGCCTCCTCCTTCATTCTATGCCCAAGACCTACCCCTTTGTTGGAGTACTAGCTGGCCCCATGTTTTCTGTACTGCATCATGTGTGCAAATTATGAACTAAAATTTAGTCTCAACATTAGACTTCAACACAGGGCTCTTCCACAAGACAGGGCTACAAAAATTGGGTAACAATGCAGGTCCCACTTTTGTTGATGTTGTACTTTAGTGGTGCAAAGTGGCTCCCACAACATATTTAATTGTAACAGTAATTTATGATGTGGTATGGCTACTTTTACTCTGAGTACTCTGAGTACTACTAATTTTTAATTCCACTTCTGACTCAGTCCAAACTTGCTGATTTGTTCCAGCTCTTGATCATTGAGGGCAGGTACTCAGACTTGCTTAGGCATCTCCGGCCTTTTAGAGAAGCATGCTGTATGTTTGCACACTAGAGTGGTAAATATAACTTCCATTCATTTCTAAAATAACAAAGAACCTCTGCAACGGTGTACAGCTAAAATAGTTATGGGAAAAAGAGATCTTTGTCTCTTGGCACAGTATTTAATAAAGACTGACTATCCAGCACATGAGCCCTGAAAAGTTTAGCAATCATTAACTGAAATTACAAAGTACGTACTGGACCTGCTCTATATGAATAGTGCAATGAGAGGACTTTTCTTATGAAATGGCACTATATAAATAAATCTGAATTGAATTGAAATAACAGGGGGAAAAAGCCTGGAAAAACAGTGTACATTCTGCTGGGACCCCAGAAATTTAGCCTACATTTCAACCAACTTGAAGCAGGGGTTTGGCTGTTATAGAGTGGGTGTATCATAACTCTACTGGGACACACACACACACACACACAAACATTTATCCGCAAGATTGTTACAAAGTGCAAGCACCTCAGTGGATTTATTTTGACCAGTAGGAACACTGTTTATTGACACAACTAAAATACATATGTACTCTCTCCCTCCATTCCGACATACTTAGTTACTCATTAGAAAAAGACTGAAAACTACTGCAATTAACAAAATTCAAGACAGCAAGATTTAACTTTTTTAATTCAAGGGAGTTCTGTGTAAATTAAATCATTAGTCAAGGGAAAATGTGTAGGAAACCTCTTTTAAATTCGGTCACTAATTAAATATTGGTTATTTAAGGTTGAATGGCAAGTCATACTCAATCACCTTATTACACACACTATTAAAACTACACTTCTTCATTTCAGCTCACTGATTGTTTTAATAGTTTTGCATCCCCAGATATCCAATTACCCACATGCAGTGCCCACCGTGAGTACGCCTATGCAGTTATTCTGTGGAATATGTGCCTTTTCTGTCACCAAGAAATAATCAGTCATAAAATTGCTATAACAACAAATAAATATGTAATAATAAAATATATCATTAGTATGTCTTATCTTTTTTGCTAAATGTAGGCAACATGTCTCCCCTCATTTCACATCAATACTGTTACCCTCATCAAATAACCCTTGTAAAATAATGGTATATTCCAGAAGTGACATCATTTATAGAAACATGAAGTTTCAGTATATCAAAAGATCAAACATAAGTATGTTTCTCTCATCTCTAATTTGACCAGAGGGGACAAAATAAAATGTCAATATTGTTACCATCTTTTTACATACATTATACATTTCTTTATTTCTCATATTATAATCAATATATTCACGTAAATTTCAACGTTAACTTTCAAAGTACACAGCATGTGGTTTGGTAATCTTGACCTTTTAGCAAGAAATGAGCATATTAGCTTGAAATGGTCACGCCTGTTACTTTTCCAGAGTAATAGGTTTAACATGTGATTAACAGGCTTGACATAGATCAGTGTTTACTTCAGTTTCAGTGTCTTTAAAAGTTATCCTTATAAAATGTAACATTTTTAAAGGTGTAATCTGTATCATTCATATCATCAGTCAGTGAGTGTATTGGTACTGTTTGATTGCCAGTAATCCTTAGGTAGCCTATTTACTGCAGTGATGCTGAGCTTATTAGTAGTTAATATACTTTTAGTTAACAGTTGCATTGTGTTATTGATGCTAGTTTTACTCTATAATAATATTTTAAAGATGTAGGTTAAGTAGCATGCCATTAAGTGCAGAAACAAAACAAAGGGATGCAGATCCTGAATAAAAAAATCTATTTGTAGCCTATAGTTTCTATGTTAAATAAATATATTTTATATCCTAGAAATATCTGGAGTCCATTTATACATTATAAAAGGACTCAGTTGGTTTCAATAAACATAATAAAAGCAGTCCAATATAGGGTCATGTGAGTTGTGTTTAGGGCCTGAAGGCATCGGTGATGAGGTGTGGGGATCAGGAAGCGCAGATCTCAAGTGGGAGTTTGTTCCAGGAGACTATTACGTTAAGTACAAGGTATAGTCCTGTCAACCCTGTTGATCTGGTTAGGCATGTTAGGTAGTCAATCCTGACACTGTCATTTCTTTGATAAAATGTATTTTAAAAAATTACTAATCAAAGTGCCTTTTAACTCTTACCATTATACTCAAAACTATATTATATTATGGACTGGGCCATCTTTCAAGATTTCTCTTCTAAAACCACTTTCTTTTCTTAAAAGACATGTGATCGTCATTAGGGGGCTCTAGTCATCTTAAAGAAAAATATAATATTGAAAAAATACTCCTAAATCTGAAAATAATCTCAGTGAAAAGAGGGACTAATACTGCTCACTGCGCATTATATTACAAATGTTTAATTAGAAGTTTAGTATACTATCAAAACATTTGGAGAAAAACAGTCGTAAAATATGAACATACACAGCCTGAGATGGCGCAGAACAATTTCTAGTCATTTTAGGATGCCATAGCCATTTATCTTTTAAAGTTGAAAAGGTACCGGTCTCTTGGAATGACCCGCCTACATTTCCACCAACAAGTTTAGCTTTCTCTTCATTTAAGACGTGTTTGAGGGCACTGAACTTTACTGTAACTTACTCCCGAATAATCCGGTGAATTTATTTAGATTTGTATATTTAATTTTTTATAAAATAGACACTCTTACAATCTTTAATTTGATCTGCGCCTGCTTCGACCAGCGGTTATGGAGGAGGAGGCGGTGTCGCGTGGAGCTGAGAAGGCAGGTGGTGCACCGGGAGAAGCGCCGCCGCTAAACTGCACAGCTGCTTGTTGTCATGGAGGAGCAAAGATGGCGGTCCTGGCCTATAGCCTGGGCAAACGCGAGATAAATCAACATTTTACCGTTAAAAATGCCAAATTGATATCGCTTGTAGCCGTCGTTTTACTTCTCGTGTTTCACACAGCTTCGCGGTATTATGGAGGTAAGTGGTCTCCCGTTTATTAAAGTTGCAGCCAGTGAAACACTTGAGACCAGCTATTGCTAACGTTAGCTAGATGTTTATGTCTGTGAGTATTTCCCTTTGCGGGTCCGTACAGCGCCGTTATCCAGTTTGGCTTTTAAAAGGTGAGACACACAGGTTGCAAGAGTTAAACAATGCAGGTAGGTGAGTGCATACATAGGCTAAATTTACTAACGTTAACTTATCTGCATGAACTTAAATCGGCGTTGTCTGGATAGCTTAGCTGAAAAAAAGCTAACACTGCATTTAGCTGTGTTTACATGCGCCTGTCTTGTCAGGACACGCTTGATTAACGTTACGGCTGAGGAGGTCGTGTGCAGGTTGATTTTCATGTAAATCGTCAGCACTAACTATTTCGTTAACTAAACATAAAAATGCTACACCATCAGTAAAGTATGTCGGAAATGTGTTATAACTTAACGCTAACACAGCTAACAAAGTGTAAGTTAGTGGTTTGGAACAGACTATTGTACAAGTCTGCTTTCTGTCTGAGGTTTTTTCATAAGTTGACAGTGGCTGCTTGTTGGGAAAAGATTACTTAACTTCATTGATGAGGACGCACAGTGCACACTCGTTTTCAGGTATCTCAGTTTGCTTGACTGACAATGACAGTGATGGACCAAAGCCCAAGACTATATGTAAATATTAACATGGCATGCATTTGCCTCCCAGCTGGGTTGCATAGAGTAGACTTTGTTCATGAAATGGGACAGGAACTAGAGACTTCTGTTTACACACTGAGAGCAGCTGCTTTGGTTTACGATGACACTAAATTACTACATCTCTCGCCAGCCCGCGGATGCTTCATATTCTCTTGTTTCTATGGATTGATTCAGTTGCAGATGGCTCCATTCATTTTGCACACAAATGAATAGCTGGAGAGATTTATGTTTGAGCTAAATTGCTGATGGCTTCATTTTGTACTATGGGCCTGAGCAGAGCCCTGTATTGTATAGTAGTCTTTTGACAGCACTGAATGAAAAGCCAGGGTACTATTGAGGCATCAGGTTTCAGGCATAGTCACAGAGAAAGTGAGTGAAAGCTAGAGTAGTGCTGTGTCTTTGTTTGGTCTTACTGGTAGGGTTTTCTGTGTCTTGCCTCCAGGCGGAGACTCATGTGAATGGCTGCTGTCCAGAGGACGTTACTTGGGGGAGAACGTGTGGCAGCCGTATGGCTGCATGATGCACAAATACAAAAGCATGTGAGTCACACTAACTGTGCAAGGTTACTTTACAGTATGCGTAACAAAGATTCATGTGTGTTTCAGTTACAGATGAGGTTTGTGTGCGTGTGTCTGTGTGCATGTTTGTCTTTAAGGATGGATGGGTAATTTGTAAGTCAAATAACCAGATGAGAAGATACTACTACAGACTGTGTAATAAAATTCCACTTTTGATTAGGTTATAAAATACAGTGAACCTCCCAGCACACAAGTGATTGCCATCTGCAGTTGTCTGTGGTTTTCAGATTCCTCACTGTCATTTTTGTCTTACAGTGAAGCCAAAACCTGCCTTGCTAAAAAGCGGGTGGCCTTTGTTGGTGATTCACGAATCAGGCAGCTATTTTATGCCTTCATCAAAGTTATTGACCCAGAGCGACGAGAAGATGGAAACAAGGTAATTGTGAGAAACGGCACCATCTAAATTCAGGGTTCTTTCTTTGGAAATTGTTCAGCAGTGGTGCATGAGTTGTGGGATACATTTCTACACTCTCCACTCATGTGTATTATAAACTAAAAGTATCTGATAAAAATCACTCACTGCCATTTACATAGCTGAATCTGAAAATAATACGTCATTTGTAATTAGTTTACTGCTACTTGACACTTCAATTTATGACCATAATGTGAGAAATAGCCCCACTGATCTTATTTTCCCCACTCTCTATAGGTTTGATTTAATTAACGTGTGTGAATATCTTGATGTCAGTCTGTGTCTGTGTCGGTGTTCAGTCTCTAAAATAAACACTTACAGGAAACCCTGAAATAGATGGCATTGACAAACTTACTGCGATACATGCACTGCAAGTGGTTTGCACAATCATTCATCGACCAAAAATGCAGCACTGGAATGCTGGCAATTACACAGCAGTCATAACTGTTCTTGGTCTGAACCTAAGCAGGGAAAAAAGAAGTATACTGTCTTCCTAACAGGCTTTCTCTCTGTCTCTCCCCATGCAATGTCTGAAGCACGAGGACATTTCCTTTGAAGATGAAAGTTCTTCTGTTAATGTGGTAAGCTATTTCTGCATGCGTTTTTATCTCCTGTTCTCAATCTGTAAAAACATACTCTGATGGTAGTTAAAAACATCTGCGTCCTCTTTGTGTGTAGGACTTTCTGTGGTATCCAGAGGCAAATAATTCAATGAAGGAGCGCTTGATATCATGGACACACGTGAGTATTGATGTGGGGGTGGGGGGATTTGTTGATTATTTAATTGAGGAACTTTCATAAATACATGGCTTGGATGTAGATTTGCTTTTCTAATTGCAACTTGTCTCATGTGTCGCAGGAGGCGTCAGCAAAGCCAGATGTTGTCATCCTTGGAGCTGCCACCGTAAGCTGTATAAATGAGACGCACATTTCACAATAAAAACAAGGTGATGGCTGAGTTATGTTGATCGTAATCTCACCCATTAATCCATTTACCACAGTGGTCCATCAAGTTGCACAGTGGCAGCAGCGAGACCCTGCAGCAGTACAAAGTCAACCTGACAGCCATTGTTCTGCACTTAGAGAAGCTGGCTGACCATGGAGAGGTCTACTGGGTCCTGCAAGGTAAGCTCAGCGTTTAGCTTTAGTTCTGTCACCTCAGTCCTGGTCTCTTCACCGCAGGGATTTATCGTTCATGCGATTACTATATTCATGTCAAATGGGATTCTAGTCATTTGACATCATCAAACACCACATATTTAATTTGATGTTTGTCGGTTGCTCATGATTAGCTACAGTATATCATATATTTACTTTGTGGCTGCTAAACTTTGATGCAAGAGTCAAATAAAAACAATTAAAAATGTAGATGGTTGGGTTCTTCATGGTTTGCGTTACAGTGTCATCACTAAATCTCAAGTAACATTTATGACAGAGGTCCTGATCCGGACCAAGCCGCCGTCCTCTCAGGACCCGGACCAATAGCCGATTTAATATTGAGAATTACTACCTCGTGACAGAGCGTTTCTATTATAACCTGCACAGCTTTTCTAGCATTTGCTGTACTGGTTTAGCGGCCCAGGAAACTCGCAGACCAATTGCATGCGTTCCAATCATCTCGTGTGATGCTGCTCAGCCAATCAAATCTGTGCATTCCGACAAGCATTGCAAGTCCATTCAGCGAGTGAGATACACCAACGTCTCTGGATACACACACGGAGAGAGGAGACCAAAGAGAAAAGATATTTCACATGGCTTTTAACCAAGAATGTACAGATTCTTACATGTACATTCTTCCCACAGGCAGTTCAAAACCAGAATGTCTCGTATATCTCCAATCCTAGCTGGCAGGACAAGCCATAGCTCATGTTTCTCGCTGAACAAGAGAAGTAGGGAAGGGTATTTAGGAGGTTGAGACAACACTTCAATCACTTCAAGCTACACGTTTTATGTTATTTTATAGTTTTTTCTGAAATTAAGCACTTTATTTTAAGATGCACCATTAAAAAACTCTTATGTACTTTTTTTAAAATGCAGCCTTTAGTTTACATAAATTTAGAATTTATTATTAGAGAAGTTAGTATTTATTATTACTCCAGTTCGATGTGAAAACTGGCAGTAGCCTAAATATTGTTGAAATATTTGATTTGATAGTCAGTTGTTGACGAAAAACATATGTTGATAAAACTATATGTTATGGGACTGAATAATAACCCAAATTAGTCGTTATGATGTTCCTGGACCTTTGCTTCGGGAAATTTTCCCTAACTGGATCTCTATGAATTTCAATTGAATACCCCTGATTTGTGACTTAAGAAGTTGACCTGATTGATAATGTCACACATGTGATTGCAGAATTTTGTCAATATTAACTTCTCATGCGTGCACCCTCTAAACGTTTCCCGTTCACGCTGCACAAAACACCATCAAACCTCTTTCCTCTAGACCCAGTAAATGAGGACGTGTTGAGTGAGAACAGGAAAATGATCACTAACCGACAGCTGGAGCTGTATAACGAAGCAGCGGTGGACGTGCTCAACAGCAGCAACGGTAACGGCAGATCCCGGGTCAAGCTGTTGGCAGCGTCCCGCCAGGCTGCACTGGAAACTATCACCCAGTCAGATGACGGCTTGCACCTGCCTGAGAGCACCAGGAATGTGGTAGGCAGCATTTCTGTTAAGTTAAGGTTGTTTTTGTATTCAGTGATTCAGGTTAAGCTATTGTGGCAACACAGTGCACAGCATTTTAGCTTCAAATGTTATTCGCTTTCAGGGAGCCATGGTCCTCATGAACTCTGTGTGCAACAAGCTACTGAGGCCCATTGACGGCTCCTGCTGCCAGACGTTACCGCCCCCAAACAACCTCCAGAAACTGTCCGCATGTTTCTTCCTGGGCTCAGCCCTGGTCCTCCTGGTCCTCCACATCCTTGGCAAGAACCGTCACCGCCGACCTGTGCCACCAGATGTGGAGAGCCTGGAGGAGAAGAAGCCAGCGACAGCAGCTGTCCCCCTGGGTCCGAAGGTGCCCTTGCAGGCCCTCTGCAGGATGGGCGTCATTATGGGCTATTTTTACCTTTGTGACAGAGCAGATGTGTTCATGAAAGAGCAGAAGTTCTACACACACTCCACCTTCTTCATCCCTCTCATCTATATATTTGTCCTGGGAGTGTTCTACAATGAGAACAGCAAGGAGGTGAGATAGCGCAGTTCATTTTGGGGAAACATACTTACAGCCTTGAACAAAATTAGAGTTATTTCAACATAAAATTCAATCCAGGATATTCTAACTTGGTTTACAAAAAGACATGTTTTTCTGAAATTTTGCATTTATGTCTGTGTACCAGACAAATTTATGGATGTCTTCATGTGTGAATGTACTTCGAAATAGTTTCCCTATAAGCCCAGAATTCAACACACTTTTAACTGCATGCAAAAAACAGAAAGGCATCCATTAGTGTTTTTAGAAGGTAGGAAACATATAGTAGTGAAATTCCCCCCCAAAAATGTATTAACCTTGCTGTTGGTAATAATGTACTAAGTTTAAAGTTGTGAATTGATATCTGCTGGGGTTTTTTTCCCAAAAAGACCAAATTACTCAACCGAGAGCAAACAGATGAGTGGAAAGGCTGGATGCAGTTGGTCATCCTAATCTATCACATATCTGGAGCCAGCGCTGTGAGTCCCAAATACATCTCCTACACATTCATTTGGGAGGAACCCGCTAAGAAGCACTGTATACTGATGTTTGATTTGAAGGCGTAAATGTTTGTTTCTGTCTTTCAGTTTCTTCCAGTATACATGCACGTGCGGGTGCTGGTCGCAGCGTATCTTTTTCAGACTGGCTATGGACACTTTTCCTTTTTCTGGCTCAAAGGAGACTTTGGACTGAATAGAGTGTGTCAGGTAAGAGTACAGTCACTTTTACTTTAACCAGGATCTTGTGATGACTTTGCTGAAGAAAGCTTGTGAGCCAGGTTCAGGTGTGCTGAAGAAGTTTGGGAGACTTAACATAGCATGGTTTATTGAGCCCGGCCGAGGAGATACAGTGCCAGCGTGTGAACACATCAAATGCCAACACCAGGTCTGAAGGATAACATCTTTTGGTCCCTTTTATGTTTCTGTCTTCCCCCTAGTTCCTGTATGTATTCCTATAACAGGTCACTAATTGGCGGACCACGATCCGGACCAAGCCGCTGTCCTCTCCGGACCTGGACCAATATCCGATTTATTTTTGTTATTTTAACCCATTTAGCATTTACTGTACTGGTTTAGTGGCCCAGGAAACTCGCAGACCAAATACATGCGTTCCAAAAGTCTCATGTGATGCTGCTCAGCCAATGAAATCTGTGCATTCCGATAAGCATTGCAAGTCGAGTCCGCGAGTGAGATACACCAACGTCTCTGGATACACACACACACGGAGAGAGGATTCTTAAATGTACATTCTTCCCACAGGCAGTACAAAACCAGAATGTCTCGTATATCTCCAATCCTAGCTGGCAGGACAAGCCATAGCTCATGTTTCTCGCTGAACAAGAGAAGTAGGGAAGGGTATTTAGGAGGTTGAGACAACACTTCAATCACTTCAAGCTACATGTTTTATGTTGTTTTTTTTTTCTGAAATTAAGCACTTTATTTTAAGATTTACCTTATGTATTTTTTTATTGTGTATAAAAAAAGTTTACTTAAATTTAGAATTGTTTATTAGAGAAGGTAGTATTTATTATCCCTCCAGTTTGATGTGAAAGATAGCAGTTGCCTAAATATTGTTGAAATATTTGATTTGACACAACTATATGTTATGGGACTGAATAATAACCCAAATTAGTCGTTATGATGTTCCTGACCTTTGCTTCGGGAAATTTTATATAACTGGACCTCTATGAATTTTATTTTAATGCCCCTGCTCTTTAAGGTCATCTTTAGTTGGCCTGAACCTAGAACAACAAATCTGGTGTTTAGACTCCAATGCCACATCATATTGGAATCTATTACTATCCACGTGTTGCTCTCTAATCTGTGGAGCCATTGAGTTCTTGTAAACATTCTTGTGACCTTGCCAGATTCCCAGAGAACACCGATATCTGCTAGCCTGACGCCTGAGCTACTGTCTCTACCTTATCAGTCTAACCAAACATGCAACTTCAAGTCAAGTTGCATGTTTGGTACCCTGTAGACCCGGGTTCAAATCCGGGTGGGGTGACTGCTCTTGCCTTTCCATCACATGTGGTGTCAGAAGTGGGATGGCTTGCCGTGAAATTGTCGAAGGCGTACCCAGTGTGTGATGCGTACGATGGACCCCCAGGGTTAGTGGACCCCTGTGTGTGTGTGAGGGACCCCAGAGATGGGTGAAGCACTAGTGGGTGGGGGCACCCTGAGATGGGAGAAGTACAATTGGCGGGAGTTGTGACGGACGCCTGTATGCGTGAAGCGCAATTGGGCATCTCCCGAAAGGGAAGGGCAGTGTGACAGACCACCGTCACTACGGTTGAGTATGCACTGTGACTGCCATACCAACGAGCCTGGCTCTTTGGCGTTGCGGTCAAGTTGCATGTTTGGTACCCTGTAAACATGGGTTCAAATCCAGGTGGGGTGACTGCTCTTGCCTTTCCGTCACACTAGCAATGACAGTTACATGAGAGAAATAACTAGAGCTGAAAGGAACACTTGTGGGGTCAGCTGATGATTAATAATTTACAAAACAGGTATTTGGTTTGGACTTTTATCAGTGTGATGCTATTATTGATTGATCTGCGTACGTTTCTGTGTTTTTATATTCTTTCCACTCCAGGTACTCTTCCGTCTGAACTTCCTGGTCTTGGTGCTGTGTGTGGTAATGGACAGAGCCTACCAGTTCTATTACTTTGTCCCTTTGGTCACCTTCTGGTTTGCCGTCATCTACGCCACGCTGGCCTTGTGGCCTCAGATCCTTCAGAAAAAGGCCAACAGTAGGTGTCAGGATTTACGCAAGTTTAGCAAATAGTTACTTTATTTGTTTCACTCACTTGCATTATAGCTGTGGAAAAGGTCTGCACAATAAATGTGAAACCTGTCATAAATGTCAGCCACAGAGTTTCTTTTAGAAAAGCATGTTTGCTAATGGCTGTCTTGTTTTCTGAACAGGTAGTAGCATTTGGCACCTTGGGGTCTTGGCGAAGTTACTGGGCCTCCTGCTGTTCATTTGCGTCTTTGCCTTTTCACAGGTAGGTGAATTCAAAACATTTTAATCCCACCAATCTCAATTGAAACCTCACTTCAGTTTTCAGTTGGTTGGAAGCGTGAATAGTTACAGGCCAATCGCACTAGCCAGCGTGTCATCCAAAGTTTTAGAAAGGATTTTATTTGATTGTCTAAGTGATTATATTGATACCACAGACAGGCTTTGAAAGAAGTAGTTGAAGTATATAGGAGACAAAACTCCTCTGTTCTAGTTGGCTTTATAGATGCCTCTGAAGCTCATGATATACGGAGCAACTTTTAGAGCAATGGTGCTAGGCAATGTTGCTGTCAATGGTAATGAATGAAGATTACTACTGTAATCCCCTTTACCCATCACTCCGCCACCCTCCCCGCACCACCGCTATCAGTTCAAAACATAGTTGGACTTGCCACCAGCAAGACTGCCCAGCAACATTGCTCAAAAAAGTTGCCCCGTGTATCATCAACTTAAGGCTTTTGACTTAGTCAATCACCAGAAGTTGATTCTGAAATTGAAACTAAGGGGCGTGCCTGCATGATAAGAATATTGGCATACTGGTATGCTAACCAGAGTATGCAGGTCAGATGGAGTAATGGTCTCTACTACGTTTGGTGTCTGTAATGGAGTACGACAAGGGGTGTTGCTCTCCCCTGCCCTCTTCAACATGTATATGAATAATTTATCAGAACAACTAAGTTGAACAAAACTGGTTGTGTGATTGGTAACGCTCTAATAAATTATCTTATGTATGCCTATTGTTTAGGGCTGGTCCGAATGTCATTTTTCGAGCTTTGACGCTTCGAATTCAGCAAATAATCGTTATTCTCATAGCTAGGCTAACTAAGTGATTATTACCAAAACTTTATTTTTAACTTTGTTATGGCAATGCTAGCAAACCCAAGTGCAGAACTAAAAAAGGGAGAAATATTTTGTGCTGGGATAAAAGGATCATATATTAAGCAGTGAATAGCGAGGCAGAGTGAAAGTAGATGCGTGCCAAACCAGGTTGGTGGCTGCTGTACAGGGCAGGGGGAACCGTTACTTTCACTGCTGTCGGCGGAGGTCAGGCACGTGAAAAAGAACCTCAATAATTGAATCTCATAATTGAAATCGAATGTGTACCCAACGGTCGAATATTCAAATACTCGGATCCAGCCCTACTATTGTTTTTCCTAGCAGTGCTGGATTTCAACAGTTGCTGAATATAGGGTAAGTGCCAAGTATTTGTAATAAAACAAAATACCTGGTGCACTTCCTCACAGATCAATTCTCTGATGATGATGTCATGTGTAGGCAGTGTTGTGTGCTTTATGCTCAAGCTATGTGTTCAGCCCATGTAAAGATGAGGCTCTTTAAAGGATATTGGACTCCCCTCTATACTGCCCCATTGTGGGCTAAGTTTAAAAAGACAACCATACATAAGCTTCAGGTTGCCTATAATGACTGTATGCAGATATTGCTTAAAAACCTAGGTGGTGTAGTGCAAGTGACTTGTTTTGTAAGGCAAGAGTCAACACTTTCCAGGCTTTAATGTACAAATTTATCTGTCTGTGACTGGATGGCTCTCAGAATGGCATTATTAAGCTGCTGACAAATCCTAGTAATAGTGTTGAACATTACCAGTCACCTCTGTGGAAACATTGGTTATAGCTGTATTTTTATAAAAGTCGCACATTTTTTCTGTGCTTTTGTATTTGTGCTTTGGTATTTCAGCAGGTGTTGTCTGTCTATAATGATGATGTGTGTTTTTCTAATGGACCCCGAGTCTGACAATAAGGTTGAACTGAAATTGTATTGAAACAACACTACCCTTTCATAGTTTTCTATTCAAATTCGTGGTTTGGCTGTTGTTTTGAAGCCCTGCTTATGTAATCATGTCTTGGTGTTGTGATTTCAGGGTTTGTTTGAGAGAATCTTCTCTGTGTGGCCCTTCTCCAAGCTCTTTGAGCTGAACGGAAGCATCCACGAGTGGTGGTTCAGATGGAAGCTGGACCGATTTGTAAGTCAGATGTGCTTCTCTCCAGTTGCAGCCTACTTCATTAGTCAGTCTTTACATTAACACATTCTTTGAAGTGTAATATGTGGCAGAGTACATAAGAAGCTTGGGTCCATTTTCCAAACTTTGTCAAATTAATTTTAATGTGATGTTGTTTTGCAGGCGGTGATACATGGCATGCTGTTTGCCTTCATCTATTTGGTGCTTCAGAAGCGCCAGGTGTTGTCAGAGGGCAAAGGAGAGACTCTCTTCTCTGCGAAGATCTCCAACGTGCTCCTCTTCCTCTCTGTCGTCTGCTTCATAGTAAGATTCTTCACACGTTTGGCTCAATATTTGGATTTAGACTTCACTTTTTATTTTAGATTGTGGTCGTCTCCTCAGTCTTTTAGTAATATGCTATTCTTTTTTGGTTTTCCAATTTGAAATTCCTTATTTTAGATAATGAACAAAATGCATGCAACAGCTTAGGAGAGAGTAGTTACACTGGGTGGGGTTTGCACTTACTGTGCCTACACGACACACCTGGGAGCTGCCTTGGCAACCGCAATCTTCTGATCTTAATGTACTTATGTATCTCGAGAAAGTTGTTGTTTGTATTGCATAATCAACTTATTCTTTCCCCTATGATTCTAGACTTACTCAATATGGGCAAGCAGCTGCAAAACCAAAACAGAGTGCAATGAGATGCACCCTTTCATCTCTGTGGTTCAGGTACAGTCTTTACCTGTCCTTCTGTCTCTGTTAACTTCTTTTCCTTTCATACTATGTGGTTCTACAGCAAACATGTCTTCTCAGAGTCAACTTGTTAATTCTACTACTTTGGCTGTTTTATAGTTAATTACCCAACTGTAATCCCCTCAGATTTGCTTTAAGATGTCATTATCCTAGTCACATGACAGGATAAAGTGGACAAGGGAGTTGCCCTCCTTCATGGCTAACGACAGAACTGGTATTATGAAGGGCCGATCCCAACTGGGAAGCTCTTTGAAGTAGTGCAATAGATATGGCACAGTAATTAACAACATAGTTGAGCTTTTTTGCCCCCAAACTGGCCAGGATTGCAAAATTTTAACCCTTCATTTGACTTAGTGACTTTTCATCATTTGTAGTTTGAGCGATTTCGACTCCTTGACTTCAGCCTGCAACTTCAAATTCTCACAGTGCGCCCAGTGTGTGTGTGTCTTCATGCTTTGACTCGTGTCTTCACTCTGTCTTGTCCACAGATTTTGGCCTTCATTCTAATCAGGAACATTCCTGGCTATGCCCGCTCTATATATAGCTCATTCTTTGCATGGTTTGGAAAGATCTCCTTGGAGGTAAGACAGGCAGTGGAGTTACAATAATGTAATAAAAGTGTTTTTATATAGCCCTTAATAAAAATAGGCGATTTCACCGTGCTTTGCAAAGGGTAACGTAGATGAGGTAACAGTAATAAAATGTAGAAACAACACTAACAAAATATTAGGAATAAGGCTTCAAGTAATGATCAAAAGCAGCTGATAAGCCTCACCAGCTCTGTATGTGTTCTGCAGCTTCCCTGTAGGCAACCAGGTTTACAGGGAATTTGCACACATTACATCACAGACTACTGAACATGATCTGTTTGTCTCCCCCAGCTGTTCATATGCCAGTATCACATCTGGCTGGCGGCAGACACCAAGGGAATTTTGGTCTTGATCCCAGGAAACCCTTCGCTTAACATCATGGTCAGCACCTTCATCTTTGTTTGTGTAGCTCATGAGATCTCCCTCATCACCAATGACCTGGCCCAGGTGGTCATCCCCAAAGACAGCGTGGCCCTGCTGAAGAGACTGGGGGCCGTGGGGCTCCTCTGTCTGGTTATATTGCTGCTGGCCAAAGGCAGCCAGTCCACACCCGGCGCCTGATTGACACCTCTTCATGGTGGGTGGGGCACAGCAGACTTTCCAAGTCCCTGCAGAGTTTGAAAGAGATCCAAGCCAGGAGCAGGCCCGGTGTTTCAGCCTACTGTTGGCCACGGCAGACAACCTCAGTTATGTTGAGTGACAACACAGGGACGCCTGGGAGAACAGTGTCTCTCTGCTGGCCATGTTGTAGCAGAGTCTGTACTTTGTAACTGCTTAAGTCGCACACTGAAGAAAAGACAAATGCCCAAAAGGGGGTTGGTCCCTTCAGGGCAATGTGCAAATTTTAAGATCAAGAAAAAAAAAAAAAAAGAACAAGACGCTCAAAACGTTTACATTATCTGCTTTTAACAGAAGGCGGAAGAAAAAATTTTGAGATGTGGAAACTAAAAGAGGTCCCCTCTTATGTCAAGACCTCGCGCTTTCTGTGTGAATTTTTGCAGCGTTGCTTCTATTTAGCCAAACTCACTAATACAAAGTTTATTTTGTCACATACTGTACTTCCCGTCATTACATCGCTCTGGACGGGATCACTAGGCACACACTCCGTCCACATGGCAGTAGCAGTTGAAGGTGTTTTTCACTCAGGTGGATCCATAACATACATATTTAGATATCTACAAAAAATGTTCTATTGTGCTGCATTTTATTATCAACATTACTTTGTACAGTTTTTCTGGTGACTTTAAAATAGTGTTAGATATCTAAATATGCAAAATATGGACCAACAACTGGCTCGGATGATACAAAAAAAAAAATTAAAGAAACTGTCAAGATTAAAATAACAACGTGGAGTGCAATTGTTAAAATGTTGGAGTATCCCTCAACATATTTTTGCTAATGTTTTTTGTGAGTAATTTTAGAAATGTTTGCCTTGTGCTGAAAGGTACGTGGTCACCTGCTGTAGCTCTGAAATTCTATGTGATATGTACAGTATTTAATGATTTAAATTAAGCTTATATTTTATACCGTTTTTTGGGGGGCTTTGTTTTATTTTGTACTTTGCGCTCATGACTGCTGTTTGTGAAGGAAATATTACAGTTTTGTACCCATCCCAGCACGTCATAGATGATGAACTGCCTCAAAGACACTGCAGAGGTTGACTGACTTTCACTGTCCTAACTCCTTACTGTCTTCTGTCCTATTAGGTAACTGCTCACAATTCACTCTGTATAATCATATGATAGAGTGCAAGACTATTTTATACAGCAATTTAGTCCTTTATCCTACCATTGCTGTTAAAAACATGCTCATAGCTCTGTTGGATATTGCACTGGCTTGCACATATTATTGTACAGTAGTTAAATATAAATCCTCCCTTTGCTGTCAAAGCCAGTGAACCTTTTGATCAGCGAGTGAGTGAATGAATTGAACATATAGCTTTTCTCAGTTGCTTGTACTTAGGCTATGATCACAATCTTCCATCTGTTAGGCACTTTGCATCAGGGTCGCATCAACATTTGAAAGCAGATACTAGGCAATGCACTTACTAAGCTGAGAAGATATATTACTGTTGCTTAAAGGAAATTATTGTATATTTTGTCAGTGGGTAAGTGGGCGATGTATCCTTGCCTATATAGCCTCAGACATTTACAAGAGATGAGCACTTTTACTTTAAGGCATACATTTTATTTTTATTTTCTTCATCTTTGCGGTGAAATACAATGTTTAACATGGGTACCAGTTTATTGGGTAAATCAAATGTTTTGTAATTTGGCAGAGACAAAAAGTAAAATATTGTAAGATCCAAGCTGTATTGCATATGAATTTTTAGTTTTTAGCCTATTTCATCTACTATGTGGTAGCAAAAGATTGCAGTGTCAGTCGTTTTCTACACATTTACGTAGCTTCTCTGTGAAAGAAAATTGTGGGTCCACATGGAAAATACATTTTTCCTACCCAGTGGAACAATTTGTCTACAGCTTTCGAGGTTTCTCTTGTGATTTATTTGAAGATGTGCTGTTCTTGTTGTGTTCTCAAACTGATTTGTAATTTCTGTAACCAGTCATCACCTCATTGTATAGATGAGAATGGCATTTCCGTGTTTCCTGAAGTTTACTACAATACGTTTTCTCGTCTATGACTGATCAACAGCTATAAATTTGGTAATTGTTTCAGGCCTTAATAGATCTTTTTGGTCGTGTAAAAGCAACAACTATTTATACCCCTGTGCAGGGCCTCTTTGAAATATGTTACATGTACATTTTTTTGTGATGTCTTAAAAATGTGAACTGTATCCATATTATTTATAAATGCCTTTATTCTGTTGTACATTGGTAATAATACCTTCATAAAATGTGCTGTTTCTAGTATTTTGTTTATTTTTGAAACAGAGGCAGTTAACGGAAAAAATCTTTTCAAAAGAATTTATTGGTATCATGTGACCATTACATATAATTGATAACACATGACAACTAAAACATAATGTAAAACTCCCTTTTTCTTCTAAGAAGTCCATTGTGCAAAGCAAGTAGAAATACAAACATTGTAGATTTAACATTTACACAAATATTAAAACATTTTCTATTGTATTTGTATCGTAAGCTAAGCTCTTTTGTTAACCTTTAACACACTCTTCAAAGTGTAAGTGCATATGGACGATAAATCTTTGTAAAGACACTTCTGAGGCATGCAGATTGGCACAAATGTTATTTCAAAAACAAAGATATAGATATGGAATCAAAGTCGGCTCCAACATCGGTGTCTCTGGTCACAAATTCAGTGCTTCGGCCACCTTTCTCTCCTCAGGAATACCATTTACCTAGAATAAATATGAAAAAATGATTCAAAACTTAATTGCCAACTACTCACATTGATACATTCTGTTATTTTCAGAAATAACAACTCGCATTTTATCTCTTCATTAACACATAAATGGGCTGCAGCACCTACCTCCAGCCTTCGAAAAGTTGACATGACATAATTATCTCCTTTTGTTAGCAGTGAACAGAGAGAGCAGCGGGTTAGTGCTGGAACTGTCATGCAGTTGAACACCATGCACACAGGAGGGCGCTTGCACACCGACACCACAAATGCAGTGACTGAGACGGTGCTAGACAAGAGGTAAAGCTCTGGTGCCTGATTTCTAGTGGCGCCATAGCACAATGATTTGCTATCTGTAATCTGTATCCAATTAAATAAAGTCTGCATGCTTGTATTTTTAACAGTGATGCAGAAGGGAGATACACTGAGGTTGTGAGCAACATCCTACTTAATGTAGGCAGATCACCCACCACAATCACTAGTCAAAGCTTAAATGCTGCTCCGACATCTACTGCTGTGACTAAAGCCTGTAGAATCATCTGTTGTTGTAATATATTTATTAAAAGTCACATCACATAGTACACATGCAGATATATTAAGGCAGATCACCGGACTACTATCTAAAGGTTAAAGGAAATACTAACCAGATGGTCGTTGCTGTGGTATCGTAATCTGGTTTTGCAGATTCCTGAAAGTATAAATCATGATATGGTAAACAGACATTCACATACATTACAATAGCCTTTAGTACCATGTGAAAGCATGCTGTACTTATACTAGCAAATTGTTCAGAGTTTCAAGCCCATTAGGAAACTCATGGGACAGTTTGAACCTCTTAAGCTCCAGTCGTATTTTCCAAAGGCCTGACTTGCTTGCTGCAGCATTAGCTGTAAACATGGAATCATTACAAGGACTGAAAACAAGATAAAACGATAATGCTTTAGTTTCCATACTCCCCCATAATGACTCCTATGGGCCATTCATGTGCATGCCTGCTAATGAGCACGGGTGCACAAATGTGCGTGAGGATGTCTGTGTTTTCATCCGCATGCTGTGCTACCGCAAGTGCACGTCCCCTCCATCCAAATTAAATCGCCTTTCAACTCACGTCTGTGTCTGCATGAGGGGCATACTGGTGGTCTCATAGTTGTCGGGGTGGATGGGCGGCACCACCTCGCCGCTGACTGGGTTGAAGACAGGCAGGGTGGAGAGGGGCCAAGAGATCTCCCGGTTCTTAGACATGCTCCGCAGCTCCTTGCTGGATTTCTGTATGGAGCTGTGGTGAACCAGCTGGATGCTGGAGAGGGGACAGGCAGCGACGTTAACATGCTTGCTTGCATTGTTGCCGTGGCTGGTGGTGTTAATTTGTCTCATCCTGTGTGTAATGCTTTATTTACTGAAACACATCTAAAATATTTGAATGTGCAATCCATTCGTATCTGCTACAGTATGCTCGGTGTCGTGGAAATTACATTCCGCACTCAATTCATGCATGCACAACAGAAATATAACATCCACCCTTACCTATCGCTGTGACTTCGTCTGACTTAGATATGTTCTTAGTCTTCAAGATTAATGTACAATTTAAAGCTATTTGTTACTGCTACAGCATTAATTACCTAAATCTGGTCATTCAATTTTTGAGCAGCCCATTGGATGAATGGATGTAAACACACAGATGAGCGTATGCATGGTAATGAGAAAGCCGTCAATGACAACATAGATGACACAACTGCAAACCAAAGGGGGGGGAGGGGCAGAAACAGAACCAAAATAAGGGAAAACACAGGAGAGGTAAAACACTTACTCTGGTGTTTGCATGTTTCTTTTTTCCCTAGAAACAAAACAAAATGGCTGAATTAAATACTAATATTAACAGTTAAACAGACATCTACACACAAGTGAATGGACTGCTGGGTATAGACAGAGTGGAAGTGGTGATGGGACATGGAATACTGAGTGAACGAGGGGGCACGTCTCTCCCAGCCTGTAAATGATGGAGAACGATGAAAGGATTTCTCGTGGATGAATGGCTACCGATGCCGCGACTGTGTTTTAAAACATCAAGATGTACATGAACAAATTAACAAAATGCTGTCACAGATATTCATGGGGAACTCAGTGGATGGATGGTAATGACAAGCTGCAATTCCAATCCAAATTATTGCTCTTATCTAAATATCCTGCACTATCCACCCTATCTCCCATTTGGTTCTCATATAGACTTAAATTACAGTTTCTGGCCTATCCTCAAATGTTGGTTGGGCTGTGTGGTGCAATATTTGCATAAAAATTGAAGTCCAAGCACACTTACACCCCTTCCCGTCTGCAGCACATAGTGTAACCGAGGATGAAGAAGAGGACTAGTGCCACAGCGGAGGGAACAGCCAGTGTGATAAGGAAGTCTGAAAAGTAGTCCCGGCCCTTCAGAGACTCAGACGGAGGGTTGTATTCCCCAAATTCAGGTAGGATCCCGGTGCCTGGTTCTGGACGGGTAATGTATATCGGGACCACTTTGTTGATGTCAACCTAAAGAAATAAGTTTTGGTAAGTTTTAAGTTAATTCAGCATTTGGGAACGATACAGTAAACTGGAAAAGGTGTGTCAAAAACAGTGCTTATGTAGCACAAGCAAAATGTTTCGAGTCATCGGAAGGCTAGAAAGTACAGTCCATTTACCATTTACCAAATCTGTACAAGACAATCCTCACCAGAGAAATCTTACACCAATCAATGTGAAACTGAGCTCGGAACTTCTTGTCACAGCTGATGACAGGCTCCATCTCCTGACTGCAGCGCAGCTGGTTATGTGGGCTTTCCACCTCCCGCAGGCACGACGAGAAGGCAACATCAGCACCAACCATCACATACACTCTAGGGAGAGGTGGAGACAGTGAAATACAAAGCACGAGAGAAGAGAAGAGAAGAAGGAGCCCCATTTTACATGTTTATGCTGAGGCTTGTTATAGTCATAGCATTTCTCCTACACTGAGTGTTCTCCTAGATGCTTTCATCTTCCAAAACGTCAGCATGAATCATTGATGCACAACTTATGGCACTTCATGTGGGCTATTCCCCCCTGAACTAGACCAACCGACAGTGTCTGTCAGCGCTGATGGCCAAGTGTACTCATCTAATTCACAGCGAGCTGTGGATCCCCAAGGCCCCAATTAAATAAAATGTCAGCATGTGAGTGGGCTGACAATCCAAGCAATTTGTTTGACTGAGACAGGGTGAAGAGGTCACTCATGGAAAGAAATTGTAAGACTGTTAAACCTCATGCTTATTGTAGAGATGTTATGATTATACCTAAATTATAACACTTATCCTGCACAAACTCAATGCAAAGTGCTATAAAATGAGCCAGAAAAAGAAACTGGATCAACCTTCCCTCTGTATGAAAAGCACTCCTAGTATTTACAACTGCTGCTGTACAAATTCAGCCAAACCTTCAAAATCCTCACCCTTCCTTGAGGTTGTTGATGGGCAGGGGCACCCGGCCGCCACGGTCCAGCGCCGAGGTGATGTTGATGGCATTGAGGTGCTCAGGCTGCCATACATTCTTCACTGCTCCCAGGAAGTCCCCGAGCACCTCACTGGCCAGCATCTCCTCCACATTCATGTTTTTTATGTAAAATTCTGCCTGGTAGGGCAGAGGGAACTCTGTTCATAGGGATGAAGAGGTGAGAGTCAGAGGGAAATGTGAAAAGGGTGATTGGCAGTAAGATGAGGGGACAGCTACAGTGGTGTTCTGCTGACTAAGACGTCATTAATACTTTATTAGTACTGCATAGCTGACAGTGATTTCGCCAGTCTGTCCAGCAGACGCTTGTGTGTCTGCTCCACTCTGTTATGACTTGGCCTCCTTCTGGGGCCAGATGGCAGATGACATCACAGCATAGGGAGAGTGATGTCACGTTAGCGCTGTGAACATCTGCTGAGCGTTCAACCAACTCAGTTCATACTGTACTGCATGTACTGTGACAGGTCAACAAGCCACAGTGCAAAAATACAGATGCGCAGATATGAGGTGTTGGCACAAAGATGGAAAGTAACGCCTTCATTCATTCAAACTTCATAACCGTGTCATACTGTACCAATACAGGACTCTATGTTTACAGAAGTCTCAACATATCATACTGATTTATGACAACCTGTGATGCTTGATGCTTCATGAAAGGTGAGTGCCTATAACAAGTAAGACATCTTTTAGTTTATCTGTAGACTAAATGATTCAGACTGTTAGATAGAGTTTGATAATTGTTAATAATTGTTTATATGCATGGTTAGATCAATACAATATGTCTTTAGAAGTGATTGATAAGTCTTCATTGACAAAAGTAATCAAAGGCATCGTTTTCTCTTCAAGTACTGAATGTGCCCTCAGGGTTTAATCAGTTGACACAGTCTGATCTGTTGTTTGCTCTAAGCTCTCACACTGGCACCTTACCTTCTGTGCCCATGATGTTTATGTTTAAGTTGCGCCGTGCCGTCTCAAAAGTACGTCTGTTATAGGCAGTAATCTGCAACACACAGGGGTGAAAGTTTAAGCCCAGATCAGTGCAGCTTATATGGCAGCAGCCCTCTGGACAAGGCTGAGCTAGATACAGTATGCAGACTCTGTACCAACTGAGACACCATATAGAGGCACATAGTGCACGCTGGGAACGCTAAGCCTTTTGGGAAAAGAATTTCTACAGTAGCTTATGGGGGACAAAGAAAGCATAAAAAGACATAATGGAATTTGTCTGAAAGCTCAGAGCGAAACGTTGCACTTTACTACAACTAAATGCATACAAATCAAGGCTCTATTACCTGTATGTGTGCCTTGGCTTTCCTTTCAAATGACTGAAAATGACCGATTCTTCTTATTTAATGCTTTCATTTTGTTCAACACTTTTAGCACAAAAGCAGACTTTCTTTTCCTTCCCTTAACACATTAAACAGAAGCACAAATGCCTTCATCTTCCTTCTCTTTCACTTTGAAAGTGGTCCAAACACCCACCTCTATGACGGTGGCCTTGCCGACATGCTCTGCAGTTGGGGAGCCATAGAGCACGCCGTCGCTGTGCGGAGTCCTCTGGATGTAGCGCAGCCAGCCCGGTCTGTCAGGGTAGCCCATCAGGTTGGTACTGAAAGTGATCGGGTCATTGCTGGCATCACCTGTAGGCAGAGCTGTTTAGTAAGGGGTGACCCAATGATTTGTCATGGGTCAGAACCAATTCAGTAATGCACATTTAGACCCATTAGCTGAATTGTGGACGTGTTGCCAACAGCAGCTAAGCAATTTCTTCTAGTGAAATATGATGAATGGAGAATGCACTACTGCATTTATACAATGTGCCAACAATGGCCGGTCCAAATGTTTTAGTGATTTAGATAATCAAATATTTCAACACTATTAACCACTACAACAAACTGCAGAAAATGGGTAGGGGAGTGTTATACCTGACTTTGGATAGGGGGGAAACTCTCCTTTGAAGTGCTCTCTCTCCAGAACATGGACGAACAGCACTCCCGCAGATGGGTAGACGTTATGGACTGCATGCGATCTCGACAAGATGGTGACCACTGAAATGCAGATTTTAAACCAAAAGGAAATTAGTTCCTGAAAGCAGAACATTGGCTGTTCTTTTCTGTTTTATTCATCATTAATGACCTGCCAGCAGCGCTAATTAGAAAAGAAGAGGAGGCGTTAATACGGGGGAAAACAAATGAAGCAAACATTTGGGTTAAAAGTACTTGCTTACCTACTTCACACTTCATATACTGCTCACAATGATAGATTTGTCTACTCTTCTTGCCTGCCTTCTGCATTCTCATGAAGGTAAATGCATTTATTCACAAAAGGATGCAGTGCTGAAACAGCAAAGCGTGAAGACAAAAATTAAAATTATTAGCTGCCAGCAAGACTATGATTTTGTAAATCGGAAGAGCAAGCTGCTAAACCACAACAATGAATTACCTCGGCAAGGAGCCGAGGTGCTGTGAATAAAAGCAGCAGTAATGAGAGTCATTCAGACTGTACAGAGTTGTTTTCATGCCCTCCTCCAACTCTAGCTCCATTATACTGTGTGTTTAACCCCACTCCACCTCAAACACAAACATTTAGCCTTTATTTGTGAAAAGCATCGGTAGTAAAATGGCAACCCCTTCACAAAAGTTTACACAATGTGAGACTGGAGGTGATTTGCCCAGCTTTCTCTTGCTCAATTGTCTTCTTCCAACCGCTCAGCATTTTGCGCAGCGTTTTTCTCTCCTCTCTCCCTCAGTTGGTGGGCACTCCATTTTTAATCTCCATGGGAGACTGGGTGTACAAGGAAGAAGAGGAGGAGGAAGGGGAAGAGAAAGAGCACAAGAGGTGGCGGTAGGGGGGATTGGAGATCTGTGCTATGAAGTGCAACAGAAAGAGAGTTTTCGCCTGCAGACACATAACTCCACACACATTAAGCAGCTATGGGAATGCACGGAAAAGCTGTGTGTGTGCCTTCCCGCTAGCAAAATGTCACCAATTTCCATGACTATTTATCTCCTGCTTCATCATAGGCATCGGCATCAAACCAACATGTTCCACATCACTTTCATCAGCATTATGACATGCAGCGGGGCTCTACTACTGAACTGTAAGCCCTCTCCTTCAACAGAAGCTGATTTCCAAGGAGAGTCTCAGCTGAAGAGAGTAATATAGCTGGATTTACATTTTAATCCGTGTCCATGAAAGAAGAAGTAAGTATGTGATCTAGGTTGTTAAGTGTTATCTATTACCTGGTCTCACAAAGGGGCTATAGAAGATTAGGTGGCACAGTACGCTGCACATTATTATGGAAGTCCACATCTACAAGGTGGAATTGCCTCTCAGTGCACTGCTAGAAGTGTAAAGTTTTAAAATAATCCCATATGTGTGTTAAACTGGGCTACATCTGTGGCCCCAGACAGAGATGCTGAACTGGCCATATGTCCAATGTCCCCGAGGGCTCTATCACACCTAGATAGAATCAATAGCATTTAGCGGCCACTAAACGTGGTGTTACTTATAGAAACCTGAGGTTATTCCCGCCACATCTCTTTCCAAGGACAGATTGGAGGAACCAACTGAGCATGACTAATCCACGATATAGCTCTCCTTGCTGCTACTATTGCACCCGTGACATTAGGATCTAGGTTATTCAGAGACCAAGAATAAAATCTTATTCAGTTTGAGCACACCAGCGGCGCCCTCGGTGACGACTCGAGTCGATCTGCAATTCCCACTATGAATGCGCACACTCGGATTCTATTACCCCACCCATTGGGCCTCATCAATTCTTAACCACACAAAGGACCACAGTCTCACACTCCCGGTCAAGGTCGAGCACTGGCTATTCTGTTATGCTCAGAGACCAACTAGACGTGGTGTAAACATTTGTGACATGAGACAGGCAGGACATACAAGCAACCCCAGATGGTCCGGTCTCGCCTGATGGGCTGAGGAATAGGAAATGACCTATGGGATTTGAAATGTGTTTTAGCATATCAACATTAAAGCGTTGATTCAGCAACAAACAGTTAGGCCCTAGCACACACCCCGGCAGCCTTTTCTGTTAGCCAGTCTAGCTTACAGGTTCCCATTGGACTGTGTTTCACCCTCACCTCTGCATGCAGTCACTTCCATTTAGAGAGCAGCCAGGGTAAGTAAAGATCACTGACTAAGCTACACTGCTAATAGCATCAGATCTCCTTATTCGTGGCAGGCAGATTTTCTGCCAGGCTTTCTCGAGATGATGGACTACAGCGCTCCTACTGTACATAATACATCACTAATTAAAAGTGAACACTAAACTGTCCACTAAGGACTAACCTGTTGGCTCCTGCTGTAGGACAAGCGTAGAGACAGACAAGTGTCCATGCTGGTGCTAATACACACAACAAAGCTACATTTTCCACAAGGATTTTCTATACACTGCTCATAGGGATGCCTTAGTTAAAAATGCCTTTGGCAACATAGAGTGAATAAACCACCCGTGTCCCTCTAATGGCCCTAGCTACCTGAGGCAGAGACAAGGGAGGGATGTCCTTTAGCCTAGATCTGTTGAATCAGCTTTGTCTGTGCATGTCGCCTGGGTCAGGAGGACTGCATGTGCTTCTCTGGTGTTAAGCGGGGAAGCACAGACAACAAGGATTGCTACTGTTAAGGGCAGAGGCTTTCGTATACTGCCTGTGATGCGTTTGAGCGTTGTCGTTCTAAACACAGACCTGGAAGTGAAACTAACTGTTGTCACAACAAGCAGAAGGCAATGGCTAAGGACAAGAGTGAGCATGAAACAGCCAGTTCAATCTTCTAGCGCTCTATAAAAAGGTAAGTAACTGATTTGTCTGAAACGATTGATGAGAAGTTCTGTGTCATTTACAGTGTTGAATCAGTGTGGTAAGGTACCAGCATCACGTTAACCAGGAGAAACAGACGGTTGTCTCATAGTTAATGATTTAGAAGAAATTCTACTTCTAAGCAAGGACAAGGTTTAGGTAAAATTGAAAATCATTAAACTGCTGTTATAACAAAAAGTAAGTGGGCCAAGTTTGTGGGACAGCAGACAACTGAAAACAATGATGCCAGTATTAATGGGGAACCAGTTGAGCATGTAACTGTGTTATGACAGGGGGGAGGGGACGGCTCAACACATGAAGTGCACCACTGCACACACCCACTCACCATCTCTGTACAGGGCTGTTCTCCCCTTCAAGCCCAGGGATCGCTCCATACGGACATTTCTCTCATGTAAAGCGGTGTCTTTGGCATAGGCATGCGCAACGTAAACTATTGGGTCAATGAATAAAAGCATGAATGGAACAAGTCTTTCAAGGGGGCACACATTCGGTTTGTTGCCCATTAATTAGGTACACCAGGATCAAACTAATACAGTCTGATGCAATAGCCGTGCAATACATTCTTTCTTTATTAAGGTTATAATGTTTACTTTTTTTTTGTTTTAGCACTTTTAGCAAGTTCAGATTGACTTTTTTTTATGACAAAATTAATGATCTATTTAACAATCAAGAGTATAACTGACAGATTAACTGCTAAATAAAGTAAACAAGGTGTTAGTGGTACCCATAGATAAAAGCAAATCCATTTTTGCTTGCTGAGATGTGAGCCTTTCAGTCTTGCTGCATTTTTAAGGTTCATAGTGGGCTTTAAGTGCCTTAAAAAATGGAGCAATACAACCTTCATGAAGGGATTTACTGGTGGGCTGTTGAATTAGTTTTTAGCATTAGTTTTAGCTGGACCTAATAAGCTGGCAACTGAGAAAACATATTTTGCCTACAAGTAATGTGTGCACCAGTGATAAGCCGCTGTAACAAACAGGATGCTGTCACTGTGTAGACTTCACATAATGAAGCAGTGTATTAATCTCATCTATTCCCTACATGTACAAGCTACTCAATTAGGCATTCATAACACACCTGGTCTACATATAATATGCTATTTCCCCAAAGGTAATTAAAGCTGTATGAGTGACAAGAAACTAACTAGCAAGACAACGTAACTTAACGTTTATATTCCTCGTTTGAGAAGTAACGTTAAGGTACTGTACAAAACACATTTTTTTTGACGTTTAATGTTTAGGCACCCGTATAACGGTATCGCTTTCTTTCATTAGCCATTTTTCCACGTCTCCTCCTCAGCCTCTTGGAAAAAATGAGCGGAGCAGCGAAACAGCAGCAGGCTAATAACTAGCTACGTAGCTAACTAGCATGGACCCTGCATCAAAGGCAAACCAGAGAAAAATCCCCTGATATTTCCGAGTTTAATCGATACGTACCCGTGCCAAGCCATACCGCAACAGCTGCAGCGGACATGGTGCATATCATCTAGGTAAATCTCTCATGAAAAAGGATGTTTTATCTAATCGCCACCCGGTTTGACAGCCATAATAATGAGCATTCTGCTGCATTCCTTCCTCCGCCTCCTTTCCTCACTGGAGACAGCACGACTTCTCATTGGCTGAACATCTGGATGGAAAAAGATGGTTGTCTAGTAAAAATCCCAAAAGTGCCAAAACATGATGTGAGTCAGGAGCGCCACGCCTTCAGGAAATCTTTCTGCGGGATGTTCAAGTTAAACGGGAATTATAATGTATATCCAATCGAAGGAGTGGCTTCTGCCTTTTTGCTAACCTGCCTCCTTGTGATCCAGGACAGCATGTGGGTGTGGTGTAATTCACTAGGTCGTTCATTTAAGCATTTTCATTCGTGTTTTGGTTAATTCCACGGTTTACTGCTGGCTTCTTTGATTGCTTTTTGATCCATTAGCTTGATGATATCTTGATAATGGAGGTCCAGGACTTGTGAAGACAGACACGTCCTCTTGAACATACACAAATGCTCATCATCACTAGACCGGGGCTTGACCTCCGCAGCCCAGCTGCAAGAGGGCACAGGCATGTTTGAGAAGTCTGCTCCAATCTGTCCAGGCACCATGCAGAGACAGTCCTAGCTGACAGATGGTCATGTTTTAGCCTCTTGGCTCCAAGGCAGGCCTGCCAAAGGGCTGTGGGGCCCTCAATTCATCCCTCATGCCCCCTTGATGTCAGCCACCACTAATAGAGCACTGATCCCGCAGAAAAGGATCCTAATTCTGGCTAACATGCTGACGGTGGTCACTGAATGATTTTTGTTTGATGAATTCATGTTTGAAACTGGATTCATGGCTTCCTCTGTGGTGATATACACGACGCCATCCATCCTCTGTGCTCTGCAGTGCGAGTCTGCTCCGTTCTCTCACCCTCCCTTTTATCCCCTTATGATTATTTTTAGGTTGCTTAGCAACATCTTCACATAGACAGTGTTTGGACTTGGTATGAATATATCACAACAATCATTATAGGGCAATGCATGCGGTAAGATGCACAAGGAAGACTGGGAAAACAGCATTTCTGTCTTGGCAAGAGGCTAAGATAGTGGCCAAATGTGTGTGATGTAACATGATGTGTACTGATTTGGATTGATCACTGTACAATTCTGTTTCAGCTGAATGCACACTGTAATTGCCCTGCGTTTTGCTTGCTTAGATCAATTAGGTGGGAGTGGTGATGGACCAGTGGATAACACACATACCTTTGGTGTGAAAGACCCGGGTTCAAATCCACTGTGAGAACACCAATGTGTCCCTGAGCAAGACACTTAACCCCTAGCTAGCAACCTCTGACATATATAGCAATTGTAAGTCGCTTTGGATAAAAGCATCAGCTAAATAAATAAAGATAAAGACTGTAACTCATGTGGGTCTGTTTCTTTCTAGTACACCAGATAGACTTTAAATGGCAAAGACACCCTTTCATGTAACATTTCACTCTCTAAATTCAAGATGCTGGCACTGAAAAATTTTAAGGGTTGTAGGCTACTTTAAGTAAAAATAGAACAGCAGCTGCCTACCATATAAAAAAACAACATACTGTATGTAAACCACCTCTGCTTTAAGTCAGTTCAGCATGGACTGAAATTGTTACATAATAATGTTAATTGCATATTTTGGCAGATAGGATTAAAATAAATGAGATTTACATTATGAGATTTGAGAAAGTGACAAGTGAAATCAAGTCCTAAATATCTCAATGTATGCAGCATATGCATGGTTTAATCTCTTATGATTAAACATTCATTTATAACTTGTAATTTGTACTAACAAAATACATGTGGAAGCAACAATGTCATGTATTTCAACACAACAAAATCAGTTATATAACTCTGTGTGGTAATAATCACACATTCTGATGTTGACAAAGCTTCCTTTCTAGTGCTTTATCACATGTATTCAGTCCCATGCTTTAGGCAGTTGACTCTGTTGACTCATGTGTGACCCAGCCAGCTTGAATATATGAGACTGTTACAATAATAATGCCCACACATTAATAGGAGAAAGAGACTGCAAACTCTGGAAAACATAGTATTTTTTAAAAAAGTGCATTTAGCCATGTTGAGTGTGTGAGATAGAGTTTGATGTGTTCAGTTGCCAACTTTATTATTCATTTCTTTTCATTATATTAGACTAAATAGAGTCTCCTTAAAGCATTTCTGGCCCCACATGGAGGAAATAGTAGGCCTAAATGTTGTAGGCCTAATCAATTAGCATTTTTTCCTCTCATGGACAGACCTTCAATGAGTGAATTAACAGTGAAATCACACTTTACCTTAGAATTTTCCTGCCACACTCACCCCCCCCAAAACACATTCAGCCCCCCTGGTGGTACTCACTCCACATTTTCAGAAACCCTGAACACACAGCCTGAGTGGTCTTTGACCTTACTAACCCCACCCAAACCCCATATATGAACAATAAGCAGCGAGTAAAGTTCCAGTTGCCGTGTGCTGGTATTTATGCCAGACTGCAGCTCGCTGAAACCCCCTCCGCTCGCGGCAGATTATCGGACCAAACCATTTCAGCAGTTCAGGTTTCAACACCTGTCACATGAGGCTTTACGTTTGCAAATCGCCCGATATCGTTACAGCTAAGTAGTGTTTCTTTTACAGTAGCGCAGACGTATATCGGATGCTGCCGTCCTGCAAATGCTGCCACAGTGCAGCTCTCAGTGAGAGGAGCTGCCAAATCGCACCGACACCCCTGTAGTGCGACTGGCAGCATCACCCACTTGCCTGCAATGGCGTTGAAGCGGCTCTAGTGTGTCCAGACGTTTCTGTAGTGGCGAATCTGCCCGGGACGATTTACGAGTGTGGGATAGAAATGTTTTTTTCCCCCCCCGAAAGGTTTTGCAACGAGAGCATCCATATTTTTGCACGAGTTTACCTTCTGGATTACAGTGTATTTACATCACGCGTCAATCGAAGCCCGTGCCATGAATGTAAGTCTGACTCTTTTGTTTTTGTAACATTGAAGCAACATCGCGGTGCTTTGTGGTTAACAGTTAACTCACTCATTTGGTAGTCATAGTGAGAAGGGTTAGTCGTTTATATTTTTAGCCCTTGCATAAGTCTGCGCAGGAGGCAAAATGCGAATAAATAAATGTTTAACAGTGTCAAGGGGGGTGGAGGTCTGAGCTGTCATGTTGTGTGCGGTGTGGCTGATGTGCGGCTCTGCCTATTTGTCTGATCCCACTGACACAATGTTAAAGCCTCAATTTCATCATTTATCCTTCACCACTAACTTATTTCCTCCGTGCAATATCCTATGAAGCAGCACGGGATGTTTCTTTAAGTTAAAACGGATGCATTTTTGCACAAGGATTTCACATACTGTAGGTGTTATCACGGACCAGTAAGAGTCCAGCATTGTGAATAATGAATATTGAACCAGGACATTTAGGTTTCAGCCACGGGTGCTGCTCATGCATCCATACCATCCAGGCTGTGGGTTTCAGCACAACTTAGAATAATGGATTCTCTGTGTCCCACATTGAATGTTTGTTTTTTTAAATTATCTTCATATCAGCTTTATTGTGTTTTTATTTCATTCCCCTCTATGTGGATTGCATTTCCAAACAGGATTAAACATTCATGGCTGTAGGTATGGAATGCTCTAACTCAGTGATATTGTAAGGGTGGGCAAAGGCATTTTCTCAACATTTAAACGGCAAATATTTCAGTTCATGAAATGTTTTGTATTTTTGTCCCTGGGATAGTATCAACAATTTTGGGGCATTCAGCAGCATTTTCTCTGTGCAGTTGTAACTACCATGCAATGCTTTGTTTGAGGGCTGGCATTTAGGAGGGACCACCATAATTTCATTGATGGTTTAGAGAGCTGTGGGACACACAGCTTACTATAGAAAACAGAGGGAGTGGGGTGGAGAACAGAGAAGAAGAAAATTTGAATCAACAGTATTTTGGACAGTATAGAACCAGTTTAAACATAAAGAGCTGAAATTGCCACAGTAATGTCTATAGTAAGTATTTATTTGAGAAGGTAAACAGTGCAGCAATGCTAAAAAGACAGAATCAGTGCTTTTAGAGTCTAATAGACTATCATAACTAGTTATCTTGTACTGAGAGCTTTTATGTCATACATTCAGCATCTGTAATTTATTTGGCCCCCATGTTTCTGAGTAGTGTTATTGATTGAGAGTAAAAATTATCTCTTTGTAACCATCATTTGGATGAGAAAGTGCAACTTTCAGTTTATGTGATGTTATTGTGTTCATATTGAAATAATGATCTCTCTTGAACTCACAAAAACATGCGGTGTTACAAAATGTTTCTATCTTTATAATGTTTCTTTTTATCTCTGCAGGTGTGAATGGGCCTAGAGGAACTTCCGCTGGATCAGATTAGGCAGCGCTGCGGTAGGTCAAATTAGACTCGTCACTCCCCATATTCTAATGAGGCCACGGCAATGCTGACATCCCCTCTGAATCCAAAGACGTCATCATGCTGAAGACGGAGGCCTCGGGGGAGAGAACCAGCCTCCGGAGTGCCTCCCCCCACCGCAATGCCTACCGGGCTGAGTTTCAGGCACTCAAGAAGGCCTTTGACCAGCCTCGGATCGATGGAGACTCCAAGCCCAAAGACCTCGAACGGGTGAAACAACCGAGGGGCCGCCAGTATGGCAGCCATGTCAGTCGCATTAAGGACATGTTCATGCAGATGGGCTCGGAAAATCCCTCAGCTAAGGCCAGTGGTCGTGATGATTCCTCGCCACAGAAGTTGATCAAGCCCACCAACTTCATCAACAAGGCTGATGGATCAGTGATAAAGCTTCAGCATTCCTCTTCAACTGACAGGATTGGAGGTGCTGGAGCAAAGTTCTCTGAAACCAGGAAGTTGTTTGAGCAGCAATCACGTGACCAGTCCCAATCACCAGTCTTTCCATACGGACGTGATAAAAGAGGTTCCCATGAGCATCTCGATGACTGGCGAGGTGCAAGGTCCAATCGAGGCAGCACAGACTCCTTGGACTCACTTTGCTCCAGAACAGAGGCGTCCTCACCGACGGTTAGTCAACTCAGTGCTGTTTTTGAAAATGCAGACCACCACAACCAAGGTGCGCCCTGCAGAGGAGTCAGCAGACGGGCCCTCTACTCACCAGATGGATTCCAGCGACATGGAGGTGACCTCAGTGAAGATGATTCAAGACAATCTCCAGTTCGTGGAAGCTACCGGAGCAAGATAGGGGGGAAGTTTCCCACATCCTCGTCTTCTGAGGACCTTCTGAGCCCCAGTCCTGGGACGGAGACATCGGAGCTGAAACCAGTACCACAAGAGAAAGGAGCCCAAGACAAAGAAGACAAGGTTGGGACTATGGGTGGAGATAGGCGGCGTCTTTCTGGGGTCACCACCAACGGAAGCCAGGTCAATGGTTCTTGTGAAGAAGAGGAGAAATCTTCAGGAATGAAAAAACTTATTGATGATCTAGGGGTGTCCAAAGCTTCCAAACCTACAGATGATGCTGTTCTTATCGACAAAGCTCTTGAAGATGCAACCCCTGAGCCACTGCCAACCCCAACTACACCTGCCGGGGAAAGCCAGGAGGATGGGGATGGTTCAAGAGAAGACAAGCCCTCTGACTCTCCCAAGGCCCAGGTGGAAGAACCCGACGAGGAATACTCTGGGAATGAGCGGGTGATTTTTAATGCAGACGGGGATGCCTGTTACCAGGGTTGGGGGGAAAGCTGCACGGATCCTGAGGATGACCTCTACGGAGATGATGAGGATATTGTCTATGACCCGGGCTCTGACCTGACAGAGATTCCTGGTTTACCGCATGAAAACAAAGAGGACATCCCTCCAAAGAGGAAGATTCGCTTCAGCACTTCTCCCATTACGGTGAGTTGGGTTCTGAACAAAACTGTTGCAGAAGCCTTAATTGTGTAAACATACTGAATACAATCCAACATAAAAGCCCTTGTGCAGCTCTTATCAAAAGTAGGTTAAAACAACAGAGAGCTAATATTGTATTCAGAGCTTCCTTGTTATGGGTTCATATTTATAGTTACAGTTGAACTACTCATTGTGGTTTTCACATACATTTCTATGAGGTCATATGATCATGATAGATTCATCTGTATCCCTGTAAAACCTTTTATATCATGGTTTACTTTCACATTTTCTTTTCTATAATATGGTCTGCTATCTTGTAGATGAAATAGCAAATCATCATAGATATTTATATATTGTAGCTGTTGCTCTCTGATGGCAGGGGTTGTAGCTATTTTGTGATGCAGAGCCTGAGGGTCAAAGCATCGTCCCCTGGGAAATTGACGTGTCCATGAGCAGAACATCTGTGCATGGTGTTAGTCGTGCTGGTTCCGCACCCACACAGTTTTCACACAAGATGCTGAGTTTGTTTTTCTCAGGCAGTCCCATCTCTGTCTTGTAAGTTAGGAAGCCATTTATTGAGCTAATTGATGAGGATATTTTGTACATTTCAGAGGCAGAGTCTACATGAATCTGTCAAATATACTACACAGAATACAGTGGACCTTGTGCATGTCTAGGATGTATCTTTGTTGTGTCCGTTATGCTCAGTGATGTCAGTAGACTAATGGCTGGAGATTAATTGCATTTTGACCTTCCAGGGACTACAAAGGTAGCAATCACATGATCAATTTTACTTATACAAAAAAGCCTTAATGTCTATTTCCCTCAGAGTTTCATGTTCCTGGTAACAAGCCATTTCTTCTTTTTTATTAATAGAAATAGCTTTACCATAATATTTGTTGCATCATCTGCCTTGAAGTATTTTGATACCGTTTTCTGTGCTGAGCTGGACACAATGCAGCCAGTGTTGTTTGTGGATTGGGAAGATGGATTTGGAAGATTATGGGAAATATTTTTCAGTCTTTATCCCCAAGCTTTTAGAATCAATAAGCTTAACATTAGTAGTAGTAAACAACATGCTTTAGGTTACCATTTTACTTTTTATCCTTATTTATCAGTTTGTCTGTGAAATCTATTTTTATTTTTGAGATTTCCAGGCTGTTGTGTGTGTGTTTACATGTAACATGTGAGGGTAACATGGTGGTGGAGTGAGATTTATGTATGAAAGATTTGGAGCTAACATAAACATTCCACAGGTTGAGGATCAATCCTATTAACATTCTGTAATGAAGCAGAACAATTAGCCCAGTTATTCTGAGGAGAAAACGTGATTTCGGCTCACTAATTATCCCAACTGTCTCTGCAATGCGTGTCCTTTCGCTTCTTTCTCTTTTCCTGCCTCTCAGGACTCACCACACGTGCTTGAAAACACAATCACAAGCATACATTTACACAAGGATATCAATTCTTACATTATCTGGCTTAAACACAGCATCCATAATATAAAATGTATGTTTTTGATAATATGTTTAACAAATACAATTTTATATTTCAGTGATGAAAACTGGTTTGTGATCATTTCTTGAGATCAGTTTAGCAAATTGTATTTTAACTACACAGTGAAAGCTTGTTGTCATTTAGGTTGAACAGGCGGGCAATGTGCTCTGTTGTTGCCTGTCGTTTTAAGGCTTCTGTTTTCTATGAAAAGGACTGACGCTCGTTCATCATATGGAATATTCAAGAGAGGCACTGCCCCCCCTTTACACAGATGCACAATTAGACATGCACCCCTCCCACTCCCCCCCCCCCACCTCCCCCACACACCATACGAGGAACAAACAGGGTTCTGTCTTTTGTTCGTCTATATAGTGAAACGGACAAAAGCTATTTTCTCAGCCCTCTGCCCCACACGAGTCCAGTTGACCCCTGTGGGAGGAGACGGTAGAAGAAGACCTTGAAAAAAAAAAAAACTGTCGCTTTATAAACTAATACTTAATGTTCCCTCCCCTTTGTGTAATATTTCTTAGTCCTACCCCGTAAAGCGGATAAATAAGTTCAACATCCCAGCTTTGAAAGCTTAATTATTTTAGAAATCATAATGACAGCAGCAGGGGGAAGATGACACACAAACAGCTTTTGGCAACATTTTGTAAACATGCACACTGACTTCTGTTTGAGAAGACGAATAACAGGTCCAGATGCCCAAAGAAGCCGATTATTGTGTTGACTAAACTAGTTTTGAGTTTATAAATTTGGATTTTAGTCATGCAGGCAGCACAAGTCTTTGGATAGCAATGTCAGTTGGTATTGTGGTCATCCACTTTCGTCCAGATTGAAATATTTTTAACTAATGTTTGGATGGATTCCCATTAAATTTATGGTAGCACCACCAGCAGGTCAAAGTTTTCACTTATGCTGTGAAATATCCATCTACTAGATGGATTGGCACATTCTGTGCAGAATTCATGGTTCCCAGATGATTAATTCCTAATGATTTTGGTTTTTGCCTCTCTTTCCTATAGCATAATCATGAGGTTCACTCTTGTGGCTTTCAGTGAAATGTCTCAACAATTATATGGATTACCATGAAATTTGGATCAGAAATTCATGCCCGCCTCAGGATAAACTGTAATAACTAATTTGGTGATCTGATCCTGATTTTGGTATCAACTGCCATCATGAGCTCAACACATGTATTTGTCCATTGTCCAATTGGTTTATGACCAAATACCTGTTTAAGAAATACCATTCCCATCAGCCTCAGTTGTACTTGTAGTATGAATGTATGTAGGTAGGTACATTTATTGTCACAATATAACAGGTTATATAATGAAACTGAGCTTTGTAACTCCCTTCTGCTACATAGCAGACAATATACATTAATTCAGAAGCAATTGTAAAAATGGTAAACAGAAATAAACAATATTCAATGTTCATTGGAGCAGAGCTGAGGATGAATTACAGTTGAAGATTCTGATAGCTTGGGGGGAAAAAGCTGCTCTATAGTCTGGTGGTGTGGCAGCTGAAACTTCTATACCTCTTTCCAGAAGGCAGCAGGGTGAACATGCTATGGCTGGGTGGGTACTGTCCTTTAGTATCCTTTGGGTTCTGCACAGGCACCTTACCTCACCGATATCACTGATGCTCTGGAGATGGGTACCAATGATATTCTGAGCAATTTTAATTACCCGCTGCAGAGCCCTCTGGTCCTGGGCCGTACACATCCCCCTTCTTAAGTTTCCTCAAGAAATACCACAAGAGGTTTTTTTTGAGCTTTCTTCACCAGTGTGGAGATGTGAGATGAACATGTCAGGTTCTCTGTGATGATGATTCCCAGAAACCTGAAACTGTTCACTTGATCCACCTCAGCTCCACTGATTTTTTTTATTTTTAGTTCCGATTAGCAAATGTAAGCAAGCATAACACACTAAACTAAGATGGTGAACATGGTGAACATACCTGCTAAACATCAGCATATTAGAATTGTCATTGTTAGCATGCTGCCATTAGTATTTATTTAGCTTTAGATGTAAACTAGTGCACACTGGTTTCTTTTGTTTTTTATTAATGATAACTTCCACATTCTTTCACTCAGCTGTAACATCCTGACTGACTCAGTGAGAAGTGACTGCTTTGAGCTGCCTGAGGTGAGGGCAGCCTGTCCCCCCGAAGGCACTGACCTACAGAAGAGAATCAGATCTCATGTTCATTCAAGCAACTGGTTTTATCCATGATATTAGTACCTCTAGTTTGGTTGTTCAGTCTGAAGCATATAGATTGATGTAGTAGTAGATTAAATCTTCTGTCGCGCTTTTGATGTCCTGTACCTCGAAGTATGTTCTGTGCAGCTGAAATGACTCTGAGAACACGATCTGATCTAAAGATATTGCACACAGCTAAGCCAGCGTTCAGTTCCTGTGTGGTTCTCTCAGGGTTTTCAGAATTTCAGCCTTGATCGCAAACAAATCCCAATAGCTTTTAACCATCTCATGCTCGTTGCAGATTTCTTTCCATGCAGTGTGTTTTCTTTCTCTCTGTGTTGAACCGCACCCCGGGAGTTTGACAGAAGTCTTCTCCCTCTGCACACAGTCTGCTGTGTCAGTCTCCTCCTGTTTTCCTCTCTCTTCCTCTCTACGTGAAAGGCATTTAAATCATCTTTTTAATGATACTTTTTTGTGCCTGTAGAGACAACTGCATTTTCATCAGTTGAAACACTGTGATATCTTAATGGAATTAAGCAGATGTGATGAGTGGAGCACAGGTTAAACGGCCACTGAAGTGGCTCTGTATGATGTCTGTTACTACATCAAAGAGACTGGTGTTTTGTCCATTAGATTTTAGATCACTCCTCTTCTCTGTGGAAACGGTTCCATAGCCGAAATACTCTGTACATTTTTATGACTGTCTTTTGCTAGACTTGTGTTGTTCTGCAACTTAGAAGGGATTGTTTTTTTAAGAGTATATTGTTTTTTTAGAGATTTAGTTTTTTTTAAAGGTTATTTAAAGGATATGAGATCAACACAGGAATATCACCTAAACGTCACCTATTTGACTCATTTGCCCCTCCCTACAGTTAAAAGATGATAATTAGTTGACTTGTTAGTATAAATTAACATGCCTAGCAGATAATGGACCAGAGCCTCTGTATAAAGTGACATTTTTGGTTAAATAGTTAATCAAAGGACCCCAAAGAAACCCACCACACCGAGTTGCACAATGACCACATTGGAGGGATTGGGGACGTTTTACATGTCGTTGTCCAGGGGCCCATTGTCTCATAATCCAATCTATTTGAAGTTTTAAATAGCAGGTATTTATTGATATTATTTTGTATTAGAATATTTGAAATTCTTAATTTAGCATTAATTTATTACACTGAAAAAACAATGTAACTATTAAGAATGTACAGTGCGTTATTGCTATTGAGTATTCTCCTATCTTACATATTTAACTAATTTTACTGTGTCCCGAAACCTATCTGTGTGCTTGCAGATTAGATTCCACTA